AAACCCAGAGTGGGACCAGCCCCTCACCTCTCAGCTCCTTGTCCCAGGGTGCAGAAATGTGCAGACCTCAACCAGATGAGCACCAAGAACCTGTCACTGCTCTTTGCACCCAGCCTCTTCCAGACCGATGGCAAAGGGGAGCACGAGGTCAAGGTGATGGAAGATCTCATCGACAACTACGTCAGCATCTTCAATGTGAGCAGGGGCCTGCCAGCCCCCTCCAGCTCCCCTTACATCCCCCCATACTGTCCATCTCTGCCTCCCCTGCATTCCTCCATCCTGGCCTTGTGTCCTCCGTATCCCGCTCCACACTGACCCTGCTCCTCCTTCCTCCGGCAGATTGACGAGGACCAGGTATCCCAGATGGATCTGGAGAACAGCCTGATCACCACCTGGAAAGACACTCAGGTACTATGGATGTGCTTGCTGGCCCCCACCACACCAGGGACCCCCGGGCCGGTGGGACTGACTGGAGGGTGGGGACATTCCCAGCTGCCCACCCTGGGTCCCCACTGTCCCACACCAGATATTTGGGAAAGGACTTTCCCCACTTGTCTTCCCTTTGCCCATCACCTTGAGGCTCCTGCCCAGGGGAGAAGCAGCCCCAACTTCTTAAGAGACCATCACCAGCCCCTGGGATGATGGGATGTGCTCAGCACCCGTGCCAGCATGGCACCAACACCACCCGCTCTTCCCCAGCTCTCACAGGCAGGTGACCTCATCATCGAGGTTTACCTGGAGCAGAAGCTGCCCGACTGCTGTGTCACCCTGAAGGTGAGTCCCAAAGGAGGGCTGTGCCAGGGGGAGCGAGGAGGGACTCAGGCTCTGGGTGCAGCCTGTCCCTGGGACCCATCCTGCCACCGCCCACGCAGCTCCCCGTGTGTCTGGCCCCAGGTGTCCCCCACGATGACGGCCGAGGAACTCACCAACCAGGTGCTGGAGATGCGCAACGTGGCAGCCAGCCTGGACATCTGGCTGACCTTCGAGGCACTGGAGAACGGGGAGCTGGGTGAGCCTGGTGGGATGGCACGGGGGGGATACCCCTGGCATGGCTGGGCTGGTGGGAAGGAGGTGTGGGACAGGGGGAGGAGGCTTTGTGCTGGTGGCAGGGGGAATGTGGACTGGCACAGGGAACGGGGACAGAGAGATGAGAGTGTCTCTGCATCCCCAGAGAGGCCCCTGCACCCCAAGGAGAAGGTGCTGGAGCAAGCTTTGCAGTGGTGCAAGCTCCCGGAGCCCAGCGCCGCGTACCTGCTGGTGAGGAAGGTCCCCATTGGCGAGGGCAGCTGTCTGTTCACAGGTAAGGCAGCCGCAAAAAGTCCCAGCCCCTGGGGGTGTCCCCAGAGAGGGACAGCTCTGCCTGAACTTCCCCTTGCCCTGGCCGCTGCTCTGCAGCCATCAGGGTCACATCCCCGAGACCCACAGTGGGATCCTCCTGCCCCTCCCAGCCCCCCTCACCCCCATCTCCTCACTCTGGGCAGGTGTCAAGCGTGAGAGCCCCAAGTGTGGGCTGCTGAAATGCCGTGAGGAGCCCCCAAAGCTGCTGGGGAACAAGTTCCAGGAGCGTTACTTTGTGATCCGGGACCGGAGGCTGCTGCTGCTCAAGGAGAAGAGGGTACCCAGGGCATGGACCTGCACCCCGAGGGCAGGGGAGAGGCAGGGAGAGGCAGCCTGGGGACAGCGGTGGCATGGTGGTGGCTGTCCTCCTGGCAGGGAGGCTGGCACCAAGCTGGGCTGACCCACTGATTTCCCTCCCCAGAGTTCCAAGCCAGAACGGGAGTGGCCCCTGGATGCAGCCAAGGTTTACATGGGCATTAAGAAGAAGCTGAAGCCACCAGCCCAGTAAGTGGGTCCTTCCCTGGCCATGGCACCAGGGCATGAATCCCTCAATCCCTGCACCTGGCACATGAACCCACCTGCTGGGAGCACGCCAGGCTCCACCTGGAACCAAAGCTGGGTCTGTGGGACCACTGCCCACAGCCTTTGGGCTGTGTCTGAGCTTGGCACTGCTGCCCCACAGCCTGTCTCTTCCTTTCCTAGGTGGGGTTTCACACTGACCCTGGACAAGCAGCAGCTGTGAGTATCTGCCCCTGCCATCCTGGGGCTGGAGGGATGTCAAGATCTATCCCCAGTGTTAGTGGGACTGGGACAGCCAGGGCAGTGCTACAGGGCCCTGGGATCTGGCAGAGCTTGGGGCATGCCAGAGCCAGAGTGATGGGGCCACAAGGTCCCTGGCACAAGGGGGGAGCCAGGCTCCAGGGGTAATCCATCTCTCTACTACACACCCTTCCCACCTCCCCATCCCCACCAGCACCCCTGGGACATGCTGGGTGCCCAATGAGCTCTCACCTTGCCCTGAAGCAGCAATTTGGGCGTGCAATGAGTTTCAGAGGTGCAGCTCCACGGGGTGCAGCTGTGCCTGACAACCCCAGGCTCACAGACAAGGTGACAAGGGCGCAGGGGTCCCACTGGCCCTGCTCTCTGGCAACTTCTCTGCTGTCTCCTCTGCAGGTGCCTGGTGTGCTCGGGGCAGGCTGAGCTGTGGGACTGGACCACCAGCATCCTCAAGGCTCAGGTGGGTGTAGGACTGGCTGTGCCACCCAGATGGGCAGGACTGGGATGGGGCTGGGCAGGGCTGGGATGGGGGTGGTAGGGCTGGGATGGAGCTGCTAGGGCAGCCTGGCCTGACCCCTGTGCCCACCCTGTCCCTGTGCACAGCACGACGACCGGCACCCCGTGATCCTGCGCCGACGCTCCTCCTCCGACCTCGCCAAGCAGAAGTTTGGCACGATGCCACTGGTGCCCCTGCACGGGGACAGCACCGACGCCACCATGCTCTCTGCCAACCAGACCCTGGTAAAGCCCCCGCAGCTCCCCCTGCCCACGGGTGCTCCTGCACCCACCCTGGTCCTTGCACCCATCCCAAGACCGTGTGCCCACCCCAGAGCCCATGGGGTGGGTGTGTGCTGCCCGGCACCGCTGGGTGCTGTGGGTGTGTGTCCTTGTGCTCGGCAGTGTGTGTGCTGGGTGCTGTGTGCTGTGTGCTGTGCTCGTGTCCGTGGCAGCTCTCTGTGCCTGCAGACCCCACATGGGGGGTGCTGCACCCCACTGCCCCTCCTCTGCCTGCCGAGGCCCCCTGGCCCTGCCCCGTGCCCTCTGTGCTTACCTGTGCCCGTCTCCTCTGTTTCCAGCGCCGCCTGCACACGCGAAGGACTTTGTCCATGTTCTTTGTAAGTACCTGCACACGTGGAGCGTGTCCGTGGCTGGCTTTGCACTGCTCCTGCTGGCTACAGCAGCCAGGGCTCACCTGCAGCACCCCACCTATGCCCAGGCCATGCTGCATGTGCTGTGTGGCAGAGGGGGTGCCCATTGCTCTGCATGTCCTGCACCTGGGGATGGGGGTCCCTGTATGGTCCCGCTGTGGGCAAGCAAGACCACAACAGTCCAGCCCAGTTCCCAGAGCCTCTCTCACTGGGCACACATTGCCCAGAGGGGATCGGTAAAAGAAATGCAAGGAAACAGGTTTGGGTCCTGCTCCTCATCAAGTTATTGCTGGACTTCACCTCACCTGGCTTTGAGCTCTACGTGGGCATCCACCTGCCCTCCCCACCCCAGAGCCCCTCTGCCAAGGGCTGCTGGGCTGGTGGCATGGACCGTGCCTTGGCAAGGACCAAAATGCTCCCCCTCCATCAGTAATGGGGAGGAAAGGGGCAGCAGTGCCTGAGCCAAGAGACCTGGTGGAGGGTGGGTCCTCTGTGGGCATCAGCCCCATAGTGAGGGGCAAAGCTTCCCAGGCAGTGCCCGAGTGCAGGGAGGGCAAGGTGAGGGGGACTGAGGGGTCTAGCTGAGCAGTGTGGACAGTGCCCCTCACCCTGACCCCCTGCCCTCCCCAGCCCATGAAGATTCACCAGGACTCCCTGGAGGAGCAGCAGGAGAAGGAGGTGGACGCTGATCCTGTGTACGAGGAGGTGGGGAACTTCCCCGAGCTGGCCGTGCTGGACCTGGGGCAGGGGCTGCTGGCAGACCTGTCGGCTGTGCCCCCCGTGGACAGGTCCAAGAAACCAGCCCCATTCCCCGAGCAGCCCCCAGCCACCCCACTGCGCTCCTCGCTGCCTGCCAGCCCGGCCCAGAGGGTGACAGGTCCCTCTGTCACCAAAGCCGTGTCCCTCGAAAGGGGCTTGAACCTGGAGAGCGGCAAAGCTCCGACCCAGGGGCTCAGACCCACCAAAACAGCCTCTCTGGAGAGGAATGTGGAGCCTTCCCTGGCGCTGGACAGGGACTGGGAGCAGGCAGCCACACCGGGGAGCAGTCCTGGTGCAGAGAGCTCCCTGGAGCTGCCCAGGAAGAGGAGCCTGCAGCCTCCCTCGCCCATCAATGACAAACTCATCCAGGAGCTCAGCAGCGTCATCCTCAGGAAGAGCGATGGCCAAACCCCGGGGCCGGGCCAGCCGGTGACGTGAGCCGTGACCCGCCGTGCCAAAGGGGCAGCCACTGACCTGGGTGGCAGCGATGATGGGTCCCCCACGCTCCCACATCACGGAATCCACACTCTCCTCCTCCTTACACTGGAGCCGGGCAAGGATTGGGGACTGGTGGCCACCAAGGGACTAGTGGAGACCGGCATGCTGAGCCCTGGTACCCCCTCCTGGGAGGACTGGGGATGCTGCCACGAGTGCTCTCACTCATGAGTGGCACATCTGTCATGGAGCCCAGCACCGAGGGAAGCAAGTAAAAGGGAAAATAAAAGTGGAAACGTGGTGCCTGCATGTTTTGGCAGCACTGCACCGTGTCAGGCAGGGAGGCACACGGTGTCTGCCAGCACGGGGGGACACAGCCTGTCCCCTCTCCAGCACTGGGCCCATGGGGCAGGGTCAGGACACCCAAGTCACTCCCCCTTCCCTTCTTGTATTTACTGTGGCTTATTTTGGTGGGGGGGCAACAGGAGCAGGGCTGGCCGTGTGTGCCCAGCGTGTAGTCCGGCAATGGAGGACAGCCCCTGCTCAGGGAGGGGGTTTATACCTGTTCCTGCCACCAGCAGGGAGAAATAAAGGTTTATTTGTACTCTGGAGGGTTTGCTCACTGCAGGAGGAGTGGTGAGGGATGCCAGGGTGTGGCAGGAGGGGAGATCAAGGTGCCAGGGCCAGGCACCCAGCTGGGGGACCCATGAAATGGGGCAGTGCCAGCACCATCGGAGGAACTGCAAAACTGGGGCAAAGTCATAGTGAACCTCAGATCCAGGCGGGATTTTCTGCCCAAGTCTATTGCCAGCCCTTCGTGTTGGGCTCCACACTGCAGGATCCCTCCTCGCTGGGCAGGAGGACACAGCCTGGCACCCCCTGGCTCTGCTCACTGGACCTCAGGGGCAAGGCTGTCTTCTCCGTGGACCTCCCCATCGAGGACTCCAGCCCCCGCAGGCAGCGACCTCTGGCATCCTGGACCCAGCCCCGAAAATCCTGGGAGATGTAGAAGTAGATGAAGGGATCAAAGCAGTTGTTGAAGGCACTGAGCACCAGGGCCAGGGCATACCAGAAGTAGGTGATGTTGTGGCACCCCGTGGGCTCCAGTACGTAGTGGATGAAGAGCAGCACGTTGCTGGGGGTGAAGCAGAGGATGAAGACCAGGAGGACCAGGGCCAGGACACGCACCACCTGCCCATAGCACCTTCCCTTGGCCAGCAGCCGTGCCAGGATGCAGCTGTAGGAGATGGTCATGAGCACGAAGGGCAAACCAAAGCCCAGCCCCACCAGGGAGAGGAAATAGTAGCGGAAGAACATGTGTGTTCCCTTTTCTAGGACATCGTGGCATGTTGTGATGTTCAGGCTCGAGATATCTTGTGTCTGGGAGTGCAAAAGCAGAGGGCTCATGCCAGCCCCCACCACCAGCCAGATGCCCACACAGATGCCCACCTTGCCCCTGATCCAGCTGGAGCCCTTCCACAGGAACGGGTGTGCCACGGAGATGTAGCGCTCCAGGCCGATGCAGGTGAGGAAGAGGATGGAGCTGTACATGTTCCCATAGAAGAAGGCCACCATGGTGCGGCACAAGTAGTCCCCAAAGAACCAGTGGTTGCCCAAGAGGTGGTAGGAGATCTTGAAGGGCAGCAGGAGGACAAAGAGCAGGTCAGCACCAGCCAGGTTGAGCAGGAAGAGGGTGCTGGAACACCTCCTGAAGTTGGTGGCCAGGACCCAGCAGGCCAGAGCGTTGGCTGGCAGCCCCACGAGCAGGACCACGGAGTAGAGGGCGGGGAGGAGGAGGGTGCTGAGGGTGCTGCTGAGAAAAGCTTCCTCGGAGGCGCCGGGGCACAGGTTTTTCTCTCGGGGCGTGAGGGGGATGAAGGATCGCCCTTTGACAGGCACTGAGGAAGACACGAGGCATCACGCTCTGCCAAGAGCCCCCTCCCACTGCCCCCTCCCACTGGGGACCACGCAGGAGCTGTCCCCCTTCCCTGCAGCCCCCTCCCACTGGGGACCACGCAGGAGCTGTCCCCCTTCCCTGCAGAGCCGCCAGCAAACACAGGAGCTGGTGTCTCCTTGTCCCACAGCAGGGGCAGCTCCAACACGGGAGCCCCCAACATCCTGCTGCCCTGGCAAATCCGAGCTGTGCCACATCATGTACCATCCACCACAGCCGCAGTGCCAGCCCAGCTGGGCACCCTGCCCACATCCCAGCTGGGCTCTGCTCCCACGCACCGCTGCAGGGGCACGCAGCTCTGCTGACGTCCCTCGTCCTACCAAGCCCAGCACAACGGGATCAAAAAGGCAGATGGGAAACCCACACCAGCAGAGGGTTGGGATACATCCGTGCCAGGATGGGAGATGGGAGCTCCTGCCTCCTCCTCCCCAGCTCAGCTGCCCTCCATGGGTCCCTGTCTTCCTGCGGTTGGGGGTTTTTCGCTGCATGCGAAGAACAAACGCAAAGAAGAGGAAGGTCCCGGGACAAGGGACAGAAGTCTCCAGATCAGATCCCTTTTCTGGCTTGCTGACAAAATGCAGCCAGGCTCCGCTTCCCTACACATCACCCCTGGTTCCAAAAATTCCATCCAGGTGGGTCCCCAGAACGCTTCGTCCTGGGGGGCTTAGGTTACATCCAACAGGTTTCCCACAATCTCTGCCACCTCTCCACATCCAGGGAATGGGAAAATTCAGGTTACAAGAGAAGTAATCTGACTTTTGCTGCCAAAAGGGGAAATGCTGCCTGGGTTTCAGGCCTTCACTCAGATTTTCAGTGTGAACACCAAGGCAAGGCAGCAGAGCGGTGCCCCAAGCTTTCTCCATGACACCCAGATATCCCCTCCAAGTATGATGGCACGTGATATTGGGGTGTCCCCGCGAGGCCTCCCTGCCCTGTCCCATCACCCCCAGACCCAGCAAGGCACTTACTCGGGGAGGGTTGTGTGGCAGAGCCGAGCCAGGCGCAGCTGAGCAGGAGGGTGACACAGGCGGCAGCGCAGCCGGGCGATGGCACCGGCCGGGACATCTCTGCGGAGTGGCCGCTGCGCCAGCCGGGTCTGCACAAATGCCACAGGCAGGGCTGGTCCCCCTGCACGTCACTGCGGTGGGACCAGCCCCAGCCCCCTCCCCCTGCTCCCCTTCCTCTTTCTCCACCACGTCACCACCAGCGTCCTGCCCACGTCCCTGTGGTGTGCACGGCCAGACAGGAGCACAAGGTGTCAGACAGTTGTCACCACCCCCAAGCATCCAGGGGACATCATCGAGGCCGGGGGGATTTCCAGCCACCGGCACACAGCCACGCTGTGGGGAGGAGGACGCAGACATGAGGCGGCCGTAGGCAGACGGTGGAGAACGGCAGTGGGAAGATGGAGCTGTTTGTGCCCCACATGTGGGACAGGAAGGAGGCGGACGGTGACGTGTGTCCCTGCCCCACTGCAGCACCCCCAGGACACAGGGCACCTGCCTGCTCAGCCCTGCCAGGACCAGACACCCCCAGGGATCCATCACTGTGGTCGGGATGACCAGTTGATGTCACCCTGTAGATGGGGCCACCCTGTATTGTCCCACTCTGCTGTCCCCTCCCTGTCACCAAAGTGGGTGTTGGGTGGCCCTCACCCATTTTCCCAGCTCCCTCCTGCAGCAGAGGGGACAAGGAGGGGAATAACAGACCCGGTGACGCTTCTCCAGCCCAGCCCAGCCTCATGCACTGTCACGCACCAGGGGATCCAGGATGTGCAGCTGACTCCAAAAATGTCATGGAAAGAGCAAGAAGGGGATAATGGGACAGTGGAGTGAGCCACAAGCTCTGCAGGAACCACAGAGGAAAACCAGAACAGGGAAGTGAGAGCTGAAAGGGATGGGAGGGAAAGGAAGGGGATGGGGGACAGGGAGACAGACAGGACAAGGGATGGCTGGAGACACCTCATGATTCCAGGTGTCCCCCACCAAATGCCACTGCTCAGCACCGTGCCCGTGTCCCCATGGCAGGGTCCTGCCATGCCAGGGGCTCTGCATCTCCCATGTGACGTGGCACTCTGTGTGTCCCTGTGCCTGAGGGCTGAGGCCCCACTGCCCCACATGTCCTCGTGCCCAGAACCAGTGCCCCAGCACCCCACGTGTCACCATGTCCTGGGACCAGTGCCCTGTGTGTCCTCGTGCACAAGGACTTGGTCCCCAGCATTCCCAGTGCCCTGTGCTCCAGAACCCACCATGTCCCTATATCCCTGTGCTCCCCTGTCTCTCCATCTTCCTGTGACCCTGTGTCCCCATGTCTCCATGTCCCCATGTTCCCATGTCCCTGTCTTCACATGTCCCCATGTCTCTGTCTCCCATATCCCAGTGTCTCCATGTCCACATTTTCCCTCCCATGTCCCCATGTCCCTTCCTCCGTATCTCCCTGTGTTCCCGTGTCACTCATGTCCCTGTCCTCCTGCCCTCCTGTGTCCCCATGTCCCTGTGTCCCCATGTCCCATGTCCCCATGTCCTGCATCCCTGCCCTCCTGCCTCCCTGGGTCCCAGTCTCCTTGCTTCCCTTATCCCTGTGTCCCATGTCCCTGTCTTCCCATGTGCCCATGTCTCCACATCCCTGTGTCCCTGTCCTCCTGACTCCCCATGTCCCCAAGTCCCCATGTCCTGTGTCCCTGTCCTTCTGTCTCCCTGTGCCCCCACGACCCTGTCTCCCTGTGTCCCCTTATCCTTGTCTCCCTGTGTCCCCATATCACCATGTCCCCATGTCCCAGTGTCTCCGTGTCCCTGTCTCCCCGTGTCCCCATATCCCCATGTTCCTATGCCCCATGTCCCCACATCCCCGTGCCTCCATATTCTTGTGTCCCCATGTCCCTGCCTCCTCATGTCCCCATATCCCGTGTCTGTGTCCCCTTGTCCTGTGTCTCCATATCCCTGTCTCCCCGTGTCCCCACATCCCCATGTCCCCGTGTCCCCCTGTCCCGTGTCCCCCTATCCTGTGTCCCTCTATCCTCGTGTCCGTGTCTCCGTGTCCCCCTGTCCCATGTTCCCCACCCCTGTCCCTATATCCCCGTGTCCCCCTGTCCCCTGTCCCCCTGTCCCGTGTCCCCTTGTCCCCTGTCCCGTGTCCCCCTGTCCCGTGTCCCCGTGTCCCCCTATCCCGTGTCCCTCTATCCTCGTGTCCGTGTCTCCGTGTCCCCCTGTCCCATGTTCCCCATCCCTGTCCCCATATCCCCGTGTCCCCCTGTCCCGTGTCCCCTCGTCCCCTGTCCCGTGTCCCCCTGTCCCCTGTCCCGTGTCCCCGTGTCCCCCTGTCCCGTGTCCCCCTGTCCCCTGTCCCGTGTCCCCATGTCCCGTGTCCCCCTGTCCCGTGTCCCCCTGTCCCGTATCCGCCGCTCCCCGCGTTGGTGCCGCACTGGCCGCCAGGGGGCGCGAAAGCCACCTCGGTGGGCGTGGCTTGGCCGGCGCGGTGGGCGGGGCTTTCCGAGCGCCTGCCCGGGTAATGGAGGCGTGTCCTCGGGAGGGGGCGGGGCCTGATGAGGCGTGGTCTGATGGGGCGTGGCCTATTCGGGGCGTGGCCTATTCGGGGCGGGGGAGGGCCCGTCCCGGCAGTTCCGGGCTCCGCGCACGCGATCGGGGGCAGGGATCGGGGTCGGGACCGGGACAGGGACCGGGATCAGGACGGCACCGGGGGAACGCAGCGATGCAGCCGCCGCCGCGCAAGGTGAGCGCGGGGCCGGGCCGGGGCAAGGGGCGGGCGACCGGGACCGTGTCCTCCCGTGCTGCCGTGTCCTGCAGCCGCGACCGGGACTCGCCGCCGGCGGACCCTCACCGGGGCTGGGGAAGCGGGGCTGTGGCTGGGGGGCACCCAGGAGGAGGGGCGGTGGAGACCGGTACCCGGGCCGGGGGGGCAGCGCATCCCCGCACCCCTTCCACGCACCCCATCCCCGCACCCCATTCCCGCATCCCATCCCCGCACCCCGTCTGCGCACCCCATCCCCGCAGCCGATCCCCGCACCCCGTCTGCGCACCCCATCCCCGCAGCCGATCGCGGCCGGCGCCGCGGCGGGGCCGGGGCTGAGCAGGGCGGTCTCGCAGGTCAAGCTCACGCAGGAGCTGCGGGTCCACGTCCTGGAGCAACTCTCGGGCCTGCAGAGCAAGCAGCAGCGGGACGCCGAGCTGCTGGAGGACATCAGGTACGGCCCCACGCGTGTGTGTGACACCCCCCGATAGAGCTGAGACCGGGCAGCTCATCCCACTGGTGTGAGTGTGTCCCTGATCAGAGACCAGGCAGCTCATCCCACGTGTGGCCCAGAGACCGGGCGCAGTTCACCTTGAACCTGGCACCTCGAGGTCACAGGTTCCACCAGCCTCTGGGGTGGCCTGATGGGGACATCCAGGTGTGGGGTGGTATCAGGGATGAGGGCAGGGGCACAAGAGCAGGGGGTGATGACAGTGGGTGATGGCAGAGGAGTGGTGGCAGGGGGGGATAGCAGGGGGGATGGCAGGGGTGGCCTGTCCCTGCCCCTCTCTGTGTGTCCTTTCCTGCCCCATATCCCCTCTCCCCCCAGGTCCTACAGCAAGCAGAGGGCCGCCATCGACAGGGAGTATGGACAGGTAAGGAGGAGGTGCTGCCAGATCCAGGACCAATGTCTTGGGGAGCCATGGGCCCCATCCTGCCTTTTTGGGGTGTCCAGAGCTGGGCACAGCCTCATGCAGGCGATGGGCAGCCTCAGGAATTATCCAGGCTTGGCAGCTCTGTGCTTGCCCGAGGGGGTGGCAGCAGATGGACAGTTGGATGTCCCTCGCTGAGGGGACCCCAACCATGTTCAGACACTCGCCGGGAGCTTTGCTGAGCACAGCATGGTCCAAACTCGGGTGTTTTGGGAACCTGGAGGGAAAACCCTGTGTGGGGGGGAAACTGCTGGGCTCTGCTGTCTGCTGGGTCATTGCAGGGCAGTGCTCTGAAATGTCAGAGCTTGGTTTTGCCGGGAGATGTCCCTGCAGCATCCCTTGGGGACATACTGCAGAAGAACTGTGTCCCCCCTTCCTGCAGCCAGGCACGGCACCACCCCACTCTTCACCCTCCTGAGGTGGGGGGAAACTGTTCCCCCAGGGTTGGGGTCTCTCTGTGCTAGGCTTTCCTGGGGGCTCCTCTGCTCTGTGTCTGTAGCCAGTGTCCCTTGGTGGTGTCCCCTTGTAGAACCTCTGGTCCCAAAAGCCACAGCAGGGTGATCTTCTGGTGGCTGCTCCCCAAAAAGGTTTTCTCATGGGGAGCATGAGGGGATCTCTGCTAACACCGAGCCACTGGAGGGGGGGGTGTCTCTGTTCTGGGGGGACATATGTGTCCTTGGGCTCATGGGGTGGGCAGCCAGTGTGGGGGACCCCAGTTTCAGGCCTAGAGCAGGACAGTGGGTGCTGAGGTGCTCAGCAGGGTTGGGGAGTGCCAGCAATGCCGGGTCTGTCTGCAGGCACTGCAGAGGCTGGCAAGCCAGTTTGTGAAGAGAGACTGGCAGCGGGGCCGCGGTGAGGCCGGCGACTCCAGGTGGGCTGGGGACAGGGACAGGGGTGGGGACAAGGGGCCAGGGCTGGCTATGGCCTCCCAGCTGGGAGATGCCTAATGCCAACCGTGACTCAGGTCCAGGGATGCAGTCCTGGGTGGGATGTCCCCATGGGTGCGGTGCCCGACTGGGAGGGCTCCACCAGGGCTGGGGGTGCTGGCTGTCCTGCTGGCTGTCCCCAAAAGCTGGCAGTGGGGCAGGGAGCACCTGCCCCGCGTTCACCCCGTGCCTGCAGGAGCGTGGCCGCTGTCTGGAAGGGGGTCATCGAGGGGACGGCGCACGCCGGGCAGGTCCGTGTCACCGCCTCAGAGAGCTACCGCGCCCTGGCCGCCGAGGCTGCCCGCACCGCCCGCCTCTCCAAGGAGAGGATGCTCAAGAAGGTACCGGGGCGAGGATGTGTCCCCTGTGCCCGGGCGGTGGGGACAGCTGTCCCCCCGCCGGCTGACGCTCCCCGCAGGGCATGGAGCGGCTGCAGAAGGCGCAGGCGGAGCTGCTGGAGTCGGTGAAGGAGCTGGACAAGGCCAAGAAGCAGTTC